TTTTGTGAATGCCGTTTCTAAGGCCCTTCTTGCGAGTTACAAGCTGCGTCTTGACATTACTTCTAGTTATCGCAGATACTGAGGTTCCTCCAAGCTTTCTTGCAACGCCTAAACAATAAAAACTAATTCATTTGAATAAATGTTCCTCGATAATGCATTTTAAGGTTTTGTCTTGTGTTATAAGAATTGTATTAAGGAGGGAAGGGAAGGTAATTGTCAGGAGAAAACAATGAGATATTACGACTATATAACACTAGGAAGGGACGAGGATAAGAATTTAGGATAGGACAAGTAAAGGAATGGTGCCCAACCACTTGGATGGTTGAGGATTGAACGCCGACCTGCAAAATGCGAGACCGTCGCTCTACCGATCAGTCCAAGTGGTTGTATTAAATAGTACATAGTTGTGCTATATTTTGTCTGAACCCAGAAAAGGAAAATCTGGAAAGGAAAATACAGTGCTATAGATTGTGTCCTTATCTATGTCCGATATGCGGATGAGAAAAAGAACTGGAGCATGCACAGTACCCTGAGGGACTGAGCTCTTCACGGTTGATGGACCGGATTTTATTTGGTTGACTATTACACATTGGGTTCTGTTAGTCAGGAAATTGTAGCTCCATCTGCCTATTTTTCCGGTAATTCCTTTTGAACGCATTTTGTGTGCAATAACACCATGGTCAGAGGTCAGGTTAGGTTTGGGTAGGTTATGTTGGGTTAGGTTAGGATACTTTTTAAATTAAAAATAACATAACGGAAGGGGGAGGGGCGAGGGTACATATACCTTTCTTAGAACCTAAAGAAACCCAATAAAGGCGTTGATAGTGGTCCAAGAATACCTACAATGCCGTCGTCTCTTTATTTTCAGATATGTAGTTTAGTCATCAAATCTTCATTCGAACCCTCATCAAGACTCCTGTGGATGTGTTCATTGATTTATCACGTTATATATGATTTATCTGAGTATTCAGCCACGTTGTTGTGGCTCCTTGTCCGTTCTTAGAACTTGCTCTCCTTAAGCAGTGAGACCTTAGCTAGTATGCCTTATATGCTAGACTGGAGTCAGTCATCACAAGCCTCTAGAGAAAGAGCCAGCAGGAAAAACATAAATAAATACAAATAGAGAACCCATTTATAAAAACACGTAAACAAACAAATAAAACATTTATTTTTGTATCGGGTTTCAAGCCTAATAATGATAATATCTTCAGCATCAAACACACACGCCCAGCACAGTTGTTAGTTAGTATTCATCCATCGTATCTGCCTACAGTTGAGTCGAGCGATTGTGGTTCACCAACAACCCAACAATGAATACAGTGAATGTGGTTCACCAACAACCCAACATACACGGCATGCACATGCACGAACTTATACATGTTTTTCCTCTATAAAAGCACTTAGAAATCTCTTTCTGTAACTGATTGATGAAATTTACTAAAATTCACATTTACTCCTCAAAGTATTCTAGTAAACTACATGTGTCTCACAGTGTAACCACTTGGAATGGAAAGTTTAGCAACGGCCTCGCTTCTTGCAGAGTGCCACTCGAGCCCCGAAGGTCAAAGTGGTTGGGCATCATTACTTTCCTCCGTCCTATCCCCCCAAATCCTTATCGCCCTATCCCTTCCAAGTATTGAATAGTGGTAATGGCCGAGTGCTGTCTCCTGATAATTACCTTAACTCATCCGCCGGCAAATACTGTCCTCATAATTTGTTG